TGATTAGTGTCAGGGCATGGCTAACTCACAGATAGAACCCTGAATCAACCTCCAGGCTGATTAGTGTCAGGGCATGGCTAACTCACAGATAGAACTAGAATTTAGCATATTAGATTTTGTGGAGGGAGGAAAAACAGAGAAAACCTAACTAACTCTATTCACATTAGATGATAATACCAGGGATCAAAACTGAGACCCAAGAGGTGAGAGGCGAGTGCACTACCTCTAAAAGTAACTTTTTAATATGATTAATAATACTCTTTTCCTTGTTGCTTTAGGAAAGCCTATATTCCCTATAATATTGGGTGGACTGACAGTGCACAGTCTTGGTGAGGTAAACATGGCCAACTCTTTCCTTTGCTTTTATCACTCCCTTTAACACTATGGTTAAGCCATGTTCTATGGCTGTTGATTGCCCCAGCCATTGATCACATCATTCCCATCCCTGGGGAGCCATCTGGAACTGACCTATAAGAAGAGAGTAAGCAGATAATGAGATTCCAAGTCTTTTATCAGACTTTTGAAACCCAGCAATTCCTGCCTGGATGCATGCAGAGAATAAACTTAGACTTACCCCTTTAAAAGTACATGTATGTTATTTGACTTGTTATCGGTTATTGAATATGTGATAATGTTTGTGTATGACAGATAGTCTGGGACAGACCAGGATTTCACTCAGAACGATACATATGGCCAGTAGGGTACTGTAGTTCGAGGACCTACCCAAGCATAAGAGACCCTGATAAAAAATGTCTTTACACGTGCAAGATTCTGGATGGAGGATTTGGACCACAGGTTAGTAAGTGCAATGTAGTAGGAATTAGTTACAGCACGATGCACAAGAGTATGACCACATTTAATTTATTTCCATATGTCTTTTACAAGCCTTGGAACTTCAAAGTGTTTGTCATTGTTCAAGCTGTGTATTCTCTACATTACCTCTGGTAATTGTAAATATTTCATTTATAATAAATGAGGCTAGCCCTGAGTAACTAATACCCCATTCACACCAAGGCTTAAACATGTTTTAAAGTGGTTTAACTAAACAGGTTTGGAAAACTATCTACGAACACTGCACAATCTTTGGTGAAATAATGCATGTAAACTATCCTTTGTCTTGCTCTGATAATATTTTAGAAAGTTTTATTATATTGTAGGTTTCTAGTTTCTCATTTTTTTTCCTAATGAAAACATAGTTTAACTAAACACGTTTAGGTGTGAATGGGGTATTAGTCTGTAATCGAGAAACGTAGCAGCATTTTGAGAATTCGTGATCCCAGAATGAGTGCTGGCACAGAGAACACACATTTTTGTCTAGCAGCATTAAGTTCTGACCACAATCTTTTTTCATAGGGATCAAAGCATTCTTTTCTAGAATCAAACACTGCGTTTGTCTCTTTTGTCATAGTATATCATTGTGTTGTGGTAACCATGTTTTATCTTAATACATGCTGCAGTTTGAGATGTGTCCTGAAGATGACGCAGACCATCCCATCAATGCATCATCTGCTACAGCTTGTCACTGTGTTGTACTAAAAACCCTTAATAAAGCCAGGTAAAACATTAGATTGTGATTATAGATGTATAGCAATATACTGCTACCTTACACCCTCTGTGCTACCATAACTGAAGGTGTAATAATATCTAGATTATTATACAACTACCTAAAGCAAGGAGGTTTATGCTCAAGGAGATGACAGGATGGAAAAGGCTACACTCAAACAAATGAGGTGCCATTAATACTGGTAATCATGTAAGACATCAGGGTTCGTGCTGATTTTGGAAAGTCTTGCAAAGTTTTGGAAATCAATAATGCATTTTTCCAGGACCTGGAAAGTTTTGGAAAATTTATTTTTCGAACATTGGGCTATGGAAAAGTTATGATTTTTTCCTGTTGGTTGCCCAGGTCCTACCTTGCAAAGATCTCTTTTCATTGTATTAATTAAAAATGCCAATGTTTATCTTTCCCTGCTGCAAATCAATGCCTGCTGGCACTTTTGGTCAGCAGAGTGACCTTGGGAAGCCGAGCCAGCTGATAAGTGCACAACGGTTACCTTCAACATCCATCAGCCAACATATCAGCGATGGTTTTGGAAATTTTAGTCAATAGGCTTTGAGAAACTTTTGGAAAAGTTTTGGAAATTTTCACTGAGAAATCTGTACGAACCCTGAAGACATGTATAATGTTATAATTGTGTTTGTTTGTAGAGGACGTGATGCTTCCAATACTGGATCAGGGCCAGAGTTCTTTGGCTATTCTCATCCAACTATTCAATACCTCATTCAAAACCTGCCAGGGTCTAAAAAATGTAATAAGTACCAGTGGGTCAAGTTTGAACTACCAAAACCTCAAAGCAAGCAAGGTATGAGTATAATATGCTATGATTGACAGCTCTAGTGACAGTTGCCACTGACAGGTATATGTATGTTGAGAATCGAGGATCAAGGGTAGTTTAGTGGGGGGGGGGGGGGGGGGGGGGGAAGGAATCACATTCAATTCATGGACTCCGCAACACGTGAGAAGATGTTGTCTTCACCTTGATTCGAGGGTTTTCTACCCTCCACAAAACTCATCATGCAACTTCCAATTTGATCTTCCTGTAGTTAGACATGCCTTGACATTGATCAGCCCAGAGGTTGTTTCAGGGTGTTCATAACATTGTTGTTTTAGAGCTTATAATTACAGAAATTGTTTTACAGAAAGAAATAGCAAAACACCAACAACACTAGAACCACATCAAAGATCGTGCCTGGGTAAAATCATTATTGCATTGATTATGTACAATATGGAAAATGGCCGCATTTTATGATCTAGTCCTTATTTATCTCCTACTAACAGGAGGGTCCTGAAGGGGTAGAATGGCAGCTGGGTTACGTCTTT